TCTCCTTTTCGGCCAAAGCGTTGAAGACGTGTCGCAGGGCGACAAAACACCATTGGAGGAATTTTCCCCAAGACAAGAAAAGTTGACCGAGTTGAGCTCTGCGAGCGTGTGTGTTTCCTGTGTGTTTCGGACAGGTGCCTCCCGCCCGCTGTGTCCTCTAAGCACCACCCAGGCCCTCAGGGGCTCAGGGCTTGGGGCATGCTCTCCCCCGCACACCCGCCGCCTTGAACTCACAGCTTCCGCGCCGGGAAGTGACGGGCGGCCCCTCCCAGCGAGGCCGCCGCGCGCCTCCAGGGCCAGAGGTAGACCGACTGCCCCTCGGCGGAGCGTCCCGGCGATGCGAACGGGACGGGTCCGGAGCCCCCGGCGCGACCAGCCCGCCGCAAGCCCCCGGCTTGCAGGGCGGAGGCGCACTGACCCCGCTGCAAAGGCGCGAACTTTTACACCTACTTTTTGTTTCGCTTCGGCTCTGGCGTGGCTCTTGGCACCGCCCAGGATCGGGACCCAGACACGGATTTTCCACTGCCTGGGGACGTTGCCTTCCTCGCCCCGAGGTCTCCACCAGCTTTTCGGAGAACTAAGTTCTCACCCTCGTTGCTAAAAGTGGTCCCCAAGAGCAGCACCACGTCAATCGCAACAACAACGACAACAACCACAATAATAAAAATCTCCTCAATGAGTGGGGCTGCCCAGTCGGCTAGACGATAAAGCAGCGCTGGCTAACTGCGTCCGGGGGTCGGAATTAAAAAGAAACCCGGGAGCGCGAAAGCTGAGCCGAGCAAAAGTGAGCTGTTCGGCGCAGCCTCTTTCTTGCCCGGCGCTCGGCTGTCTGTCTGTCTGTGACTGACTAGTTGTCCCTCCAGGTGCTCAGGCAAAGTTTGACAAATCCGGGGCACCGGGAGCGGATTTCCCCGAGTCTCCCTCCCTTTCCCGGCCCGCGCGCCCCCCTCCCCAGAAATAATCCACCCACTCCCGGCCTCGCGTGCAAACTTACGTTTGATCTGCCGGGGTTTGCTCTGCTTTCGCCGGGACATCTCGGCAGCGGCCGCTGCCACCGGAGCTCCCGCGGTGCCCGCGGTCGGGGCTGCCGCTCCCTCGGCTCCCGCCGCTCGCGCCGCCGCCGCCGCTGGCCAGGCTCGGGCCGCCGCCGGCCGGACTCCAGGTGCCCCGGGCGCGCGGTATCCGGGCGCTGGGCTCCTCCGGGAGCCGCGGATCCACGTTTGGAGATGAACAGGCAAATGAGAGGAGAGAGGGGGGCAGAGAGAGAGTGACAGTGGGGAGGGGAGGGGGGAGTGGGAGAGCGATTGAGGGGGCAGAAAACGGGAATTTACAAACGAATGGACAGGGAGAGAGAAAAGGGGAAGGGGGGGACGCGAAAAGAAAGAAGGAAAAGAGAAGAAGGGAGGGAAGGGAAAGCGAGCAGAGGGGAGAGGGGGAGAGAGGGGGCGGAAGGCGCGGGAGGAGGAGCGCGCTCGCTCACCCCTCTCCCCGGCTTGCGGGGCAGATACTCCAGCGCCGCCGCAGCCGCCGCCGCCGCCGCCGCCGCGCTCCGGACCGCGCAGCTCTGGCTCTGCCGCGGGAGGTGGCGAGGCGCGGGAGGGAGGGGCGCGCCGGGGCCGTGGGGAGGGGAGACTATTCCATCAGCGAAAGGAGGATTGGCTGCATCCAAAGCCAGTCCGGATGCAAACTAGGGCCCCGGCCTCGGTCGGGTGGGGTGCAGGGGAGCGCAGTGGGGGATTGGGGGGGTAGGAGGTGCGGGGAGGGCTTGGAGGGGGGCCACCTTCTGCAGTTGTCACCGCGTCAACTCTTGGCAGCTGTCAGAGCACCCCTCCCCCTCTTCCAGGCAACTTCTTCCAACAGCCCCCTCTGATGGACCCCAACTCTCCTCTCTCACGCCTCGCCCATACAGCGAGGCACAAAGAAATCTCAGTCTCTCCATAAACTTTGTGCTTCCAGTTATGCCGCCCCCTCCCCTAGCCTACACCCCCACCCTGCCAGCTTCTTGGCAGGAAGGTTAGGCCACTGGCAAAATCCTCAGCGAGAGCCAGCTGATCACAAATGCCAACTGTGTGTCTTGGGGCCAGTTAAGTCCTCTCATCTGCCCCAGCTCTCAGGAGACCATTTCATTGCTCTCAAGGTTCCCAGGAGACCGCTGCGGACACGGACCATCCTCTACTTGGCCCGCAAGGATGGGTTGCTGAGCGGAATCCCAAAAGCGCTCTTTCTCACCTCGAATTTTCATTTTTAGATTGTAAAAAATCCGAATTTGGAGACAGGCAGATATTTTTCACACATCAAAAAGCAGGACCATCAGCTAGGTGATTAGCCCCAGGTGGGAAATGAGCCATCTCTAATGAGAATACTGACTTTTTGAAGAAGTCTGTGGAAGTTCTGAAGTCCTACCCCAGCCCCATGACCTTTCGTTCGTTTAGTTCTTCTGCCACAGGGAAGCAGCCAGCGACTAATGAAAGATTTGATCTTGCAATAATTTCCCAAGCAGGTAAGACCCAATAACTATTTTGTGGTTCTTTAGCTTTCAAAGTTTTGTTTCATTCTTACTCCATTGTTGTATGTGTAGTATGTCAGAAACTGCAAGCCAGAAGAAGAGCAAATTTTGAAGTGGTTTGCATAGTTATTATTTTGGCCAAGTTAAGCTGCGTGAGTTTCTCATAGTTTCATATACACTGAATATTAAATATGTTCTCCCGGGTGGGCTGGAAGGAGCTTCTATCCAAGTGACAGTGGAACTGGCCGATTTATGTAATCAGTATTTACTAATGAACTCCACAACAGTTAACATGTATCCCCCAGATACTGCTGACTCCTCCCCCTCCACCACCACCAGGTTGTGAGAGCACCCATTCTGATCTGAAATTGTGCCCCACTTTGTTTGGTTGACTAGCATTCATGTGAGCCCCACCAAACTCGTTGCTCTAAAAGGGTCTGGGGGTCAGCAGAGAGCCTGGGCTGATTGAGCATAATGCGGGAGGGACTGTAATCGCTGTCATTTATAACCCCATCAGGACATCTTCCGGAAGGTGTAAAGAGTTGCCCTGTGAAAGGTATGGCTGAGAGAATCTTAATACAGAGCTAAAGACCAATTGTGAATTTTATTACATTACCATTAGTACTATTACCATATGAGGTTGTAAGAATACATGGTCCTTTGCAGTGGAAAATGCACTAAATGACAAAGTCTCTCCCCTGAAGAACCAAGAAATTAAAGCCCTAAGTACCACGAAAAGCAGGGTTATTTGTGTTTGTGTGCGAAATGAATAAGCAGACAGAGAACCACAGATTTTTGCCTCCTTAATTTTCAATTCATTACAATTAAATTGGTGTGCTTAGAATTGGATGTATTATACATTATGTTTCCTTTTTACAGAACTGGCTGACTTTTTATATAACCCAAAAGGAATGCCCATTGGAATTAAAATATCATAACAGTTAGTGTTTCTTTTGGCATTTGAAATGGTTAAATATGCAAAGAAAAAGAGAAACAAATAAATCTCAGCTAAACATTCAGTTTGAAAGCTGAAAAGAGCAAAAGTCAGGGAATTCAAAGCAAGACTGATAAACTAACCAGACTGCATTATTAGAAATAGATACAGTTTATCTAAATTTATAAATATATATATTAATGATGGTCAATATGAATGAATTAAACTAAGGAATACTATTACATCTTGTGTTTTCTCATCATTTTTAATGAGAATGTTAATGATATTTAAAGTTCAATTTTTCTTTTTCTAGTTTAACTCGGTAAGGTTATAAAATAAAAAGACAGCAAAACCTATAAGCAATTATCTCTGTCCAAATGGATATAGCAGCTCAAACCACAGCTACATGACTATCAAACAATGATTATGAAAACCACTATTGAGAAAAGCATCAGGGAATGATATTGCGAAACCACAGCAACGAATGTGCCTATGATATTGAAAACCACAATTCACAACTAATACCCTGGGTATCGCAAATTATTATTTAAATATAAATTTGAAAATGTATAAGTAACAGCACAAAATAATTTCTCGCTTACTTAAAAATGAATTATTCATTTTCTAGACTCACTGATTTCATCTCTACATAATGGTTCGTTTTGAAAAGTTTCTGCTTTCAAAGACGAATTATTTTAAATCACATATGTAAGTTACTTTAGAAGCAGGAAATATGCAACTTTTAATAACATTTCCTCAAAGCCTAAAAGAATTGTTCTGAAATCAATTTGAAATAAAGAAACATCTACCTCGGTCTGGCTTTCTTTGTAAAGTTCTTCAGGAATGAAAAGGGATGGAGTTGAAATTGTTGACGGAAAAAAAGCTTGAAACAGTCTATATACTTTCAATGAGAATATAGTTGTATACATTCTTAAATAGTCATTTTAGCTAGAAAACATACATCTGACAGTAAAAGGAGATGCCAGTACCAAAACTGCTTTAATAAGCAAAATCAAATGTTTATTTACAAATGAATAAAGCAATATTCTTTGCAAGTTATAGGGTTGCCAGGTTTAGAAAATTAAAATATAGGATGTCCAGGTAAATTTGAATTTCAAATAAGCAACAATAGTTTTTTTAGGATAAGTATGTTCCATGTGATGTTTAGTACATACTGATCCTAAAAAAATAATTGTTACTTATCTGAAATTCAAATTTAACTGGGTATTTTATATTTTATCTGGCAAACCTACAAGTTTAGCATTTTAGCATTTTCACAAATTTATGATCGTTAATAATGTTGTTTATAGAAAAGGCAGAGAAACCCTAAAGTGCTTCCTACTGACACAGATATATTTAATTCTTGAACATCATATTATTTAGGAAAGGCAAGGTAGAAGGAATAAACTTCTATACAAAAAATTCTTTATTTGGCACAGTACAGAATTGTGCTCCCAGTGTAAATGGATTGCATTCATGTATGTCTTACTCTTGGATTTGTTTTTTAAATGTGTTTTTTTCCTCCAAGGGATCAGCAAATTGATAAAGCAACCTCCCAGGCCACATCTTATTAGGCAGCAAGCTGCTTTCTTTATTATGGGAGTAAACAATATTCAAAAGCTTCAGAAAGACTTAATTTTTTGCCCTTGTATCCTCACCAGAAATTGCATTCAGTTTATCTGCCTTGATTTAAGATTGTGACACTGAATTGAACAAGAATGCAGTATGAAAATAGTGTTTAGTATTTGTGTATCTTTATAATTTCAGCAGTTTAAAAATAAAAATCAACAAATTCATCTAAATGGCATTGCTGGGTTATAACTATGAAGAGGACTATCTGTTTACTTGCAAAGGAGCCAAGGGCTTTGAAAACCTTCAGTCGGTCTAGATTGGGGGTTTAACTTGGGCTTCACAGAGACCGTCAATCCCTTGAAAGATGTATGTGTGTACGAAAAATTTTCTAAGGAGCAGATCTATTGAATTCATCAAATTTTCAAAAATATCTGTGAAAAAACATCTGTGAACCAATATGAGTTAAGAATGAACCAGTTATGTGTAAATTTTTGTGATATACTGAAAACCAAAATGTGGATGATTTAAGATTTTACTCTTTGCAATCATCTGTTATGTCCAATTACTACTCTGAGAGAAGAGAGTCATAGGATGAACTCTATTCCAAAAAAAAAAAAAAAAAAAGCTCTTTATTGCCAAGGTTGTATAATGTGCAACATACCTCCAAGTATAAAATAAATATTCAAGGAGTAATGCCCCAAATTTTAGTAGACATCTGTTGATTTTGCATGCCTACCATCGTTTTCTCTTCTTCTGGTAATAATGCTGTGATATCTTTTGAAGAACTGCTCCTCCTCATCCACGATTTGGTCATGTGATGTAAGTATGGCCTTCCCCAATACCTCAATCCCTGACCAACCAGAATATTCCAGGTGTTTGCCTATAGTGATTGACTCAATGGCCCAAATTGTTTCTATGAGAGTCAGTCCCGGAACTTTTTCCTAAAATCTCTGAGGAAAAGGTGCTGTTTTTCTGCTGGGGTTGTTACGCTGGGGGAATGCAAACCTAATATTACTGTTGGCCATCTTTGCTGGAAGAATCTGTTAAGAATGATGCCGACACAGAGGACTACTTTGATCTGATCTTGTGTCAGGATCTGATTTTTTGGAAATCCAAACTAAGACACCCATCAACATTCCAATATTGCTTTGTTTTGGACCCATCAACATTATCTATGTGTCTACGTAAATATTAGAGTCTTGGTCATTTCTATCATATTTTATCTTCATCTATTTGACCAGGCTAACCCCTAAGCATCTTTGTAGTCTTAGTATAGATGTTATTTTTCGCAAGAAGACGTCACTGACCTCCCAACTTCTGAGTGAGATACCTTTTCTCAGTTGCTTCCAGAACACCTTCTTTGTCTGCAGAGCATCACTTGTTGCATTGTATTACGTTGGCAGTGTAATTACATATAAATCCAATTCTCACCAACCCCCTCCCTGCCCCAATACACCGAACTAGATAGGAAGGTTTGTGAGAGCAAGAAGCATGCCTGTATTTTTCAGAATTACATCCCCAGTTTTGGGCACATAGAAGGTCCTAACATAATTATTGAAAGAAAAAGTAAATTCCCCTGTCTTATCTGGGGACTCCTACCATTCCCAGTTTTCATGCACATCATCGCAGGTACAGGAGATAGCAGCCATGTTCTTCTTACAACATGACTCCATGCTCCTGATGGTGGATACTTGGACCAAGGAGAGTATCAGACTCAAATATGACCAATCAAATTCCTCCCTTAGGAATTTAGAGTTAGTGTCAAGAGTTTCACCCTTACATGAGAAAGAGAAGTACAATCTCTGGAATAATGGCATGGTTATCACCATGTGAACAGAGCAACAGTGATAGTTTGTCAGTAGAGAGAAAAAGAAATAAAACAAATGTCCTGAGGTAAGCAGAGATGGGAATATGAAATGACATCCCACATCCCGTTCTAGCCCCTTCATAGGCTGCAGCAGCACGTCTGCCCTTGACATCACTGAAATAATTATGTCTCCTCAAAATAAATTCCTTCTTACCTTTATATTTTAAATTATTTTTGTCCTAAATTAACGTTAGTTGATTCCTGTTACATTCAAGCCAAAAGAATAAACTAAGACAAAAATTAGCAATCTATCACTTCAGTTTGCTTGACTGAATATTTGAATACTTAGAAATATCAATTTAACTGAATTTTCTACTTTTCTTCAGAAAAGTTGTATGAAACCACTGTATTAGTCTGGGTTCTTCAGAGAAACAGAGCTAATAGTATAGATATATATAGAGAGAGAGATTGAATATAGGGAATTGGCTCGCGTAGTTACAGAGGCTGAGAAGTCCCAGGATCTTCAGTTGACAAGGAGAGCCATGGAATAGTTTAGTCTGAATCTGAAGGCCTAAGAACTGGGAGAGCTGATGGTTTACGTTCAAATCTAAGACGGAATGTGAAGGCAGGAGAAGACCAATGTCCCAGTTAGAAGACGGTCATGCAGAGAGGGAGTTCTCA